TTGGAGCAACCTGGTCTAGTGGAAGGTGTCCCTGCCCGTGGCAGGGGTTTGGAACTTGATAATCTTTAAGGTCCCTTCCAACCCAGACCATTCAGTGACTTAGGGTAAAGGCAGCAGTGCACCCCTGTATCTCTGGCTGACACCCCACTACAGTGTTTCCTTCTGGGGTGACCACCTCTCTCCTTTCCCACTGCTTTGGTTTCCTCTGATGCAACTCCTACCACTTCTTTTTGTGATCCCTAGTTTTTTATCAACACAGTGTAGCTGGGAGAGTGTATCAAGACATTAGCACACCACATATATTAATGTGGTATCTAAACAGTTGTATTTGTCTTCTGTTACCTCCCAGCATATGCTCAAACAATAGCTCTGTATTTGTTTCCATGGCTTTGCAAATATTTAGTAAATCCATCGCTCCCCTCTTTTTTTCACAGCTCCCAAAATTACACTCACGTTGCTTATTCCCCCTGCAGGTCCATCCCAGCTTTTGTTACTCTAGAAACTTGACTTTGCATATAATTGGATTGTCCCTATGTCTTAAAGTCATTCTTCACCTAGACAGAGTCATCCTCTGCCGCCGTCTCCCTCTTGGAGATGACAACAGGCATGGTTAGAGTTAAGAAGACACAGTTATCAAAAACCCGTGCCAGGCAGGCACGGTTGCAGCTACTTACCCCAGCAATATCCCAGTTGACAGCGTTGACCAAATGTGAAGCTGAGGCTTATCTTCCCCTGGCTTCACCCTTTTGTAGGCAGGGCTTGGTCCCTCCCTGGTGCTTGAGATGGGAAGAACTGGAGCTCCCCGGGCAGTCAGTGCTGCCTGCTTTTATTTCAGCAGAGCTATATTGCCAGAAAAGGATTACTTGAGTTTTCTCCAGCTTGGTTGGGAATAAATACTCTTCACCTATGACTATAGATTTTGGTCACGAGGGTGAAGAAAGCCTTCAGGGCACAGCAGCTGCTCCTCCTGATACAGCCTTTCCTGTCAGTGGGTTCTTGCTCAATCCTAATTGAAATCAGTGCAAGTCTTTGATCAAAGAGGTGAGTGCCATTTATAAGCAAGGGATTAAACAAAAGTCAGGAAGTTTTCCTAATTGAGGGAACTGGTATCTGTGCAGCTCCAGTTTGGGACTGATCCGGCGCCCCATCATGGGACTCCAGTCAAAATATGCTGGCAGCACCTGTTTGGGTTCCTCAGGGCTGGGGTGCGGGAAGCAGCTAAGGCCTCTGCACTGCAGGCTGCGGTGAGGTGCTCTCCTGGGGCATTTTGGTAACACTAAAAATACAACTCTCCTGGCAGAGTTGGCTCTTCCTGCTCATGTGATGCCTGTGAAACCAGTGTAGCGAAGCCCAGCGGGTGATCCTACAGAAGGGAGGTGGTATTTGCCTGTAAAGTGTCTGCAGAGTCTTATTGAACCTGATCCCACACTCACAGGCACAAAAACACACACTGACAGGGATGGGGCAGCCACAGCTTCTCTGGGCAACCCATTCCAGGGCCTCAGCACCTCACAGTGAGGAACTTCTTCCTAATATCTAATCTAAATCTGCTGTCAGTTTAAAGCCATTCCCCCTTGTCCTATCACTACATGCACTTGTAAAAAGTCCCTTTCCAGCTTTCGTGTAGGACCCCTTTGGGTACCAAATGGCTGCTGTAAGTTGTCTCCAGAGACTTCTCTTCTTTGGCTGAACAAGCCCGGCTCTCTCAGTCTCTCTTAATAGGAGAGGTGCTCCTGGTCTTGGATCATCTTCGTGGCCTCCTCTGGACTCACTTGAGCAGATCCACATCCTTCTTATGTTGGGGGCCCCAGAGCTGGACGCAGTACTGCAGGTGGGGTCTCACAAGACCCACCCCTCAACCTGCTGGTCACACTTCTGATGCAGCCCAGGATACGGTTGGCTTTCTGTGCTGTGAGCGCACACTGCCAGCTCAGGCCGAATTGGCAGTGTGCATCAATCAACACCCCAAATCCTTCTCCACGGGGCTGCTCCATATCACTTCTCCGCCCAGCCTGTAGCTGTGCCTGGGATTGCTCCGAACCAGCTGCTGCACTTGGCCAAATACCCCCATATGTTTTAAAGAGGAAAAATGGTGACTTGCAAAAGTCATATTTGAACCCTCAGTTCAAAGCAGCACCACAGCCTCAGTGTAATGCTGTGGTGCAGGGGTGATGCTCAGGAAGCATAGCAGACACAAGCAGCTCGCACAGAGAGAAACTAACTCCAACAGCTTGTGGAGGCACAGCAGAAAACCAGGATGTACCAATTTTTGGAGCTACCTGCAGAGAGGACACACAGCCACAGGCTCCCTTGGCAGTCATTTGGTGTGTTACCCTCACGCAGCAGGACAGGGATGGATAGCTATTGCACCTGCAGGTGGAGGTGCACAAACATGGGAGCGCGTAACACGACAACAGCAAAACCTGCAGTTTAAAAACCAGCTGAGCTACATCACAGTTGTTTCAGCACATACAGGCCTGAAGTTACCAGTGGAAAACCAACCCAGTGAATAATCTTGCCATTTGCAAGAGGTGCTGTGAAGAAATTACAACAACACTTTCTTTTCAAGCACATGCATCAAACCAGTTGCCATTTGGGCATGCAGCCCTCTTCTGCTCTGGGGGAGTTGTGTTCAGTGAGAGGTACATGCAGGTGGTGTTTTCTTCTAAATTCAAATGTCCAAGAATACCTGACACCTTCCTGTCATCATGGATCAACCCAGAACAGGCTGAGATCTTCAGAGGATGGATGCAGTTCTTGATCCCAAAAGTCTGGGTTTATATTTAACAAGATGAACAACATAGTGACATGTACTGGGGAGAGATGCCCATCAGAGTTAATTTAAACACAACCATAGCTGAGGCCTTAAAAAGGCAATGTAAAAAGGCAGCTGCAGATGCGCAGTAAGAGGTATTAGAGTTTCAGTTGTCAAGAACATCTGGAGACATGAGACAAAGTCCTAGCTAAAGTGGTGGTAAGATCACAAATGGATAGGAGACGAGAGAATAAGCAATAAAAGAAAATATATTAAAACATTATTTAATCATAAAAGAAAGTTACAATATTCAGTAATTTATTAGGGGGAGAATCTTTTTAACAACAGGAAAAGCACCATCAGGTATTTAAAGTAATAGAGTTTAAGGGGGCAGGTGGAACAGTTTAAAAATATTCCATGTATTTCAGCAGGTTTTCATCCTTTCCTGATGAGATATTGTAACTGTGTTGCGGTTTCAAAGCAGAAGATGCTGAATACCAGACGAAGACCTTCCCACTTGCCTTGTTTACATCAGTCCTCCTCCATCCATTATGTGGATATCCAGGTGTATATTTAACCTGCAAATGGATACGGTGGGACTCCTTTCACCCCTAGCCCTGTTATCTATTAAAACAGAGAGAAAAAAAACAAAGATCAGTGCAACAATTCACCACTATCAATCAGACACTTGCTTTTCTTTCACAATTAGACATGCTTCAGTTTAGAAAAGGACTCTGTCCTCCAGCTGGACATCCTA